CCTGTATAACTTTTCTTCTTTTTTTTAATGTAAATAAAAAAATCAAAAAGAGTAACAAAATCTCTCGTAGATAAGATTTAAAAAAAAAAATTTTCACGTTCACGTTTGAATTCTTGATTTAAACTTTTGCATATTTTCCACTTAAAAATTTTCTCCACTTAAAAATTTTCTCCATTTAAAAACCACTTTTCCTTATTATATTCTATTAAAAACCATAAAAAAAGATTTCAAATGAACTTCCTAAGAAAAATTTTGTATGAGAAATATTAATTAATAGCCAAGATACCTAAAAAAGAATATCAATTAATAAGTGAAATGATAAAATTGACATCTGTTTCTTTTATTTTGCATATGACTAAAGAAAAGAATACATACGAAAACGCCCAAAATTTCGCCAATCTTGCCAATATTCCTTATTATATAATGTACGTTTTTAAAAGTCGATTATTCGAAGCAATTGAAAGAAATAAGAAATATATATAAAAAAAATAATGACATTATAATAGAAATATGACAGAAACATGGTAGAAACGTGATAGAAACATGTGAGAGAAATGTTAAAGAATTGTAAAAAGAATTGTAAAAGAATTGTAAAAGAATTGTGAAGAATTGTGAAATATGGATAAGGGGATAATTATCAAAATTATCAATCCATCAATTTTTATCAATCAATCAGCTATTTTTACGAATGGTACTCTAAAGTCACAATTCACAAAAAAAAAAATTACAATGAATTATAACAATTAATATACAATACATACATTCCTGTCACTTTAAATATATTTAAACATATTAAACATAATTAAACATATTAAAACATACCACTCATTTTAAACCTCCATATCCATATGTTAATTTTATTAAAACACGTTAATGACTTTACTGAATTTCACGTTATTTTTAACCGCAATTTAACCTAAATCATTGTATGTGCATCTTCTTTTTTAAGACAGTAGGAAAACCAAAACTGCCCAACTGCCCCATACAAAATAAGTTATTACACATGCATATATATAATTACATCACCCTAATAATAATCCCTTGTAAATGAGCTCTGACTCTGGAAGGGTCTATAGACTAACTACATCACTACAATATCTATAATATACCTATTTTGCGGGATTTTACGTTTATGGAGTTTTTTTTATGCTGGATTCTGCTACTTTCTTTAATAGTAGAAGATTCCTTTAGAGAAAAAAAATAAAACTCTTTTGTTTTTACCTAAAATGAAAAATAAATTTAAATTTAGGTTTTCTCTTTTTAAACAAAAGGCTGGGGTTACATATCAGTACGCTGTTGTATTACCTTCAAGAATACATGAATCAATTGAATCACCATCACCTGAACAACATTTTGCATGAAATTTTTTTCTCAAAGGGTAAGTTATAATTGGATATTGTTTATGGAAAAGAGTAAGTTCCGATTAATTGTGCTGATGTGATGATAATCTTACATAAATGAAAAATGACCATTTTTTGACATATTTACAATATTTACAATATTTACATGGTTCCGGGTAAATTTTGTTATAATAGAAAATTCTGGATTTTTTAAAGTCCAGAAATAATGTTTTGTGTCTGTATAATGTATATAATATATTAAAAAAAAAAATAAAATTAAAAAAATTTATGAAAAAAATAAAAAATAAAATTAAAAAAAAAATAAAAAAAGAAAAAAAATAAAGAGGTTTAATAAAATATTTAATTGTTGTTGTAAATAATATTAAATTAATTTAATGAAAAAAAAAAGACTCAGGTGAACAAAATATTTGAATTATTTTTAGATCAAAGTTTTGCATTTATTATTATTGTTTTATAAAAAAAATTGTTTCTTTTTAAAAAAAAATTATTATTTACAAATTATTTACAAATTAAAACGGTTTATTTTAAGTAATTGACCATGTTATTATATCTTTTTAGGTACAACCAAAAATAATATGAATGAGAGTAAAAAATGAGTAAAAATGAATAGAATGGAGTACTGTACGTACATTTTACTATTACAAACTTATAAAAGTATAAAAGTACGTACCTTGTATCTATCGTATGCTAACGCCGTAATGGACGGATATGTCAACTCCGTTTTTGATATGATATACATTTATGATGGTATAAATTTCTTAATATAATTATTTTAATTAAAAATTTTGACGATTTTAAAAAAATTGCTTTATTACAAACAATTAATTTTTACAAAAAGAGTTGGGTTTGTTGGTTTTTTCTTTTTTTTTGTTTCAATTATTTCAATTATTTCAATTATTTCATTCATTTTCATTTATGCGATATTTTATTTCATTTATGCGATATTATTATTGCGATATAAAAAAAAGATTTACATTTCTTTTTCTTTTTATGGTAATTAAAATTTGCATTGCCACAAATTTTGTTATTCAGCTTTTTTCGTTAAACCCAAAAAAAAAATTCATGTGATGATGTGAAATATAAGTTGTCGTGAGAAGTTTTTGATTAATTTAATACTTATTGAAAAAAATTTCAATTTCTTTTTGTGGTGTGATCTTTTTTTTTTTTTCTGTGATCTCGAATTAATAGAATCTCGAACAAACATTGTTTGATTTATTTATAGAAATTATTTATCATTCAAAGAATTTTATTTTTAAAAAAAAAAATTATATATATAATTAATTTTTCTAAAATATATGATTTTTTCTAAAACTTTTTTTTTTTTTTTTTTACTTTGTAAGAGGTTCGTGAGAGGTTTGTGAAATGTTTTAATGAAGAGTGTCTTCGAACAATTCATAAACCATTAATTATGTTCTCAAAGTTACCNTATTATAAGGGCGTATTATAAAGTAAATTTTAAATTATTAAGTTTAAAAAGATTTTTTTTGAAAAATGATTAAAGAAAAAAAAAAGATAAAAAATTTTTATATATATTAACAGTTAAATATTATATTAAATTAATTAATTTTTTAAATATTTGACGATCTTTGGCGCCAAAGTTTTTTAGGGATTGTAGTAAAATTTTTTTATTTACTCTTTGTATATTTAAATTGTAACGTATAATTGTAACGTATATTTGTAACGTATATATTTGTAACGTATATTTGTAACAAAAAGTACTATTAATAGATGTCAACAAATTGTAAACTAAAATATTTTTATTAAAAATAACTTTTTCTTTTTACAATTAAAAAAAATTCCATTTTCTTACTTTCTTTTTTTTTTTTTTTAAAAAAAAAAAAAAACTTGTTTCCATGTTTGTTTTTTAAAAAAATTTTTTTTACTCTTTGTAAACTTTGTAAGAGGTTCGTGAGAGGTTTGTGAAATGTTTTAATGAAGAGTGTCTTCGAACAATTCATAAACCATTAATTATGTTCTCAAAGTTACCTAGAATTTTTTTTTTTTTTTGACGAAAAACTCAAATTCTTTTTAACATATACATAACACCGAATTATTATTTTTTTTTTCTCTCCTTAAAAATTATTTAATTTGATGTAATAAATAATTCGGTTTTGTGGTAAATTTGCGTACGGTATTGCGATTGTACAATAACATAATAAAAATGGTCTAGATTATTTTAAATGTGTATAAAAAGGACAGATTAAAAACAATGTCTTCCTTTCTTTTAGATCAATTAAAAGAAAAAAGGAAAAGTGAAAAATAATAATAATGTGATAAGAGAATAATAGGGTTATAGGGATAATAGTGTGATAATAAATAAATTATAATTTAAAAAAAATCTTGTATTTTAATGGCAACAAAAAGTCATAAGAAAATGCGCGCATTTAATCGCATTTTATGACATTATGACATTATGACGATATAACGCTTTAACAAACCAAAAAATAAAAAAATAATCTAATTTAAGTTATGATTGGATTTTCTTTTTGAAATTGAAAAAAAAAATTTTTTTAACGAAAAAAAAAAATACTTTTTATGGAAATAATTGTTATTACTTGAAAGGAACTCATGACAAAAAAAAAGTTCAAAATACCTCCTTTTCCATATTTGTAATAAAAAAAAAAATTCTTAAATTTATTTTTTTTTTAAACTTTTTATGTGAAAAAACCCCCGCCAAGAAAAAAAAAAAAAAACGAACCCCTCATAAGTTATAACTTATTATGGAAATAATGCAATATTATGAAATATTTTGATTTACTCTTTTGTTATGCTTTTCCTTTTTTTAATCTACTCTATTTATTTGTCAGGTTAGAAAAATAATCAAAGAGCCAAGGAGCCAAGAAATATTGGAT